TAGTATATAATCACTATTAGTGATTCACTAACATCCGCGTGCCAAAGTACACGTTTTCGCCTTCCCCGTCCACGCAAACCCCCGAGTCAAACAGGACTTCATGATGGAGAGCCGAACGGCATAAAACAAATACCGACGAGTTCGTTTTCACGTACGGCAACTGTTGTGGAAGCTTCAATCCGAGAGACGCTTCATACGTAGCCACCAAACTGTCTTAGCCCAGCTTCGTTGACTGCATTCACGTTCTTATGCAAGCTGTTGTAGTGACATCCAAACCCAGACTGACATAGTTCCCAGTGTGGCACACCGAGTTCGCGGCAGACCCCTAGAATCGCAATCATTCTCGTGGTCCATTCTCTAGGAGAGAATCTTCCCGAAAAGTTTGTCGTCTTGGGAAATCTTTAATCTTGCCAAAACAAATTGACTGTGGAGGTTCCGAAGCTGGGGATATTTGAGCTCTCACGTTCTCAGCACTGCAGTTCATGCGTGCTACTCGAGAACAACACAAACAGCCTGAACTCCAGGCCTTGGAGCGCAGGGCTTATGGTTTTCTCCTGTGGCCTCCTTCGGAAATACTTCGCGACCAGTGGTGTCATTGTATATTCTAAGTTGGAATTTCTAACGTAGACTTGTGATTCCGAAGCCATATTACCGCATGTCAATGATCTATCATTCATTCATCACAATCACCTGCATCTGGTCTTTCTGGGAGAACTCAATCCTGGCCATAAGACATGTCAAAAGCATATTCGATGACCTCAAGACTCATAGAGGTGCGCTTGAGTCTACCATGTCGACAGCCTGGGAGAACAACAGCAACTCCCCATCTTCAGGATTGGTCTATACTCCTGCAGAAGAAGCCCAGCATTTTGCTCGTTTCGAGGAGGAGTTGGGGATCCAGTCCGAACTCATCTCGATTGAAGATTTGACGATCCTCTACGATGAGACCAGACCGGCTATCATGCAGAGCCTCGTTGACGAGATCAATTCCAAGCAGACCACATGGACCGCGTCGGCTGGGCAAAAAAGATTCAAGAGTAGCTCTACTTCCCAAGTGTTTGTCGAAGCATCTGTCTTTTTTCCTTAGACTTCTCCCTGCGTGATGCTAAGATGCTACTTGGGACGCAGATGAGAGGGTCAAACGACAAAGTCATAAGAAAAGGCTACGCTATAGAAGAGCTACAAGATCTTCCAACTGACTTCGACGCTCGCACCGCATTTCCCAATTGCTCAAAGGTTATCGGCCACATCAGGTAGGTAACTGGCGACTATGTGAGAAAATGCTGCCTCGATCTCCAGAGACCAGTCAGCTTGTGGAAGCTGTTGGGCATTCGGTGTCACTGAGGCCTTCAATGACCGCCTATGTATCAAGTCGAATGGGACGTTCACGGAGCTCCTATCGGCCGGCGAGATGAATGCTTGTGCGCCGTGAGTCGAGGATGGAAGACTTAGACTGGGAGCTTTCCAGTCGGTACTTTCTGCCCAGGTCCTACGGATGCGATGGTGGATATCCTGATTCAGCCTGGTCTTGGGTGCACGATGAAGGGATCGCAACTGGTGAGGGCAGCCGACCGAAAGGAATCTCGGGATCCGATGCGAGTTTGCTACGACTCATCCTCGACTATTCAATAGTCACCCTTGTCTAAAGAATGAAGACAGGGGAGACCTACACTGTAGACGCTGGGAAATGTGATGATAATCCCGGCAGGGGTCGCTCAGCGGCCAGTGAGGACGACAGCGACCGTCGCTGTCGTTCTCAACAATGAGCCAGCGACGATGACTCCTGTTGTAGCATCGTCTGGGATGACT